ATGCATATCGCCACATTTATCAACTTAGGTAGCTTTACCGGTTAGACCAGTCGTGTATTGCTACGTTGTCTAAGTACCAGTGATGGTGTTAACAATGGATATCCATCGCCAGTTCATGCCTTAAATTTTCCAACTACTAAAATGCTCGGTAGCTTAACCGGGTAAACCAGTTATGTATCGCTAATTAACATTTCATCAAATATCTTAAGTAATTAATTAACTGGAAGGTACTCACCAAAACTTTCGTTACATTTAACTAAAATGTTTTATCACCATTACGTATAGTAAGTATTAAACACACTGTTTTATTTTACGAGGGTAGGTGGTACCCAAGGAGAAAATATGTTGACGATTGTTTGAACAACCAAGCGCGAGTTTTCGTATTGAATCCTACTTCTGATATAAGAGTTCTAACGTTTTTACCTTGATTCTAATATTTTAACTATTACTGAACTTGAATATTAACAACTATTATAACGACAAGTAGCACTAGTGGTTGTATCACTGTCCGGGAATGTAGCCGAAATCCAAGTGACCGCTGCTACACGCGACCATGTGTCCCTTGGCTCGAGTAGATAACGTCATATCCGGTATACAGTGTTGCCAGCGCCAACAGTCCTTACATATGAAATTAGCGTTTTGTCGTACTGACCACTTTGATCTGAAATATCTCGTCTTTGATTAACAATTCCAAATTCAAATTTATAAATTAATGTAGCTGGTACATTTGAGTTTTGAAAACAGTCATTCATTTGTTTCTTACTCATTATTTTATTATTTGGCGTCGTAAATTACCGTATAATGGAAAACATGAAACATTGGTATATTAGGAGTACGAGTTCTACCGTGGCACCAGTGTTGCAGAAACAGCTCGAAGGATTAATGATGTGTACAGCGCTGTTTTCGTGCTGAGAATTTCGACCTTCAGAACAAAACCCGTGGACGGCCGGAGACCAAAGTAGAAAATGAGGAATTAAAAGCTATTGTAGAAGCGGATCCATCACAAAGCACTTCAGAGATAGCTGCAGACTTCGGGGTAAGTAATAAAACTGTATTAACCCACTTGAAGCAAATCGGGAAAGTAAAAAAACTTGAACGATGGGTAACTCATGAATTGAGTGAATCGAACTTGCAAACACGCGTCGACTGCTGCGTTACTTTGCTCAATACACAGTAATGAAGGGATTTTAAATCGGATCATTACTTGTGATGAAAAGTGGATGCTGTACGATAATCGGAAGCGCTCGTCGAAATCACTGAACCCTGGAGACCCAGCCAAATCCTGAAGCGAACGAAAATTTGCTCAGAAAAAGTTACTTATGAATGTTTGGTGGACTAGCGCCGGTGTCGTCACTGCAGCTTTCTTAAATCTGGCCACACGTTTACGGCAGATATCTATTGTCAGCAACTGCAAACCATGAAGGAAGAACTAGCTGCTAATCAATCGCTCTAGACCACTGCTGCTTCACGACAACGCAAGACCACACACTGAACAACAAACAACCGTTAAGTTAGATGAGTTACAATTGGAACTGTACTCGCCGGACCTTGCTCCAACAGATTACCATTTTTTCCGGAATGTGGACAACTTCTTACAAGAAAAATATTGAACTCGGATGCGGCAGTCCAAACCGCCTTCAAAGGGTTTATTGATTCTCGCCCCCATGTTTTTTTAGTAAAGGGATCAATGAACTACATATGAGATGGCAAAAGTGCATAGATAACAACTGTACATACTTTGATTAATTAAATATATTTTACAAAAAAAACTTACTTTATATTCCTCCCGTACAAGACGCCATAAGTTCCTTATTTTTTAAACAAAAAATGTACTCAGCACAATGTGGTACTTTATTTCGTGATGTCACTTAAGTTTATTAATGTGAGTTTAATGTCAATGTCCCGGGTATCATCATATATTTAACAACCTGTAGTTTGTCCTTTCCGCTATAAGTGCACTATGCGTTGGTTCTTAATAGAGAAAGAAATGCATAAGCACCCTGGAGGGGTCTAATATCTAAACCTACATCTCCGAACAAAAGACATGACTGTTTTGGATAATTATAATTCTAGTCATCACTATTTGCGTCACGTTAGCGATAGTTGATAAACATACGCTATTATGCAAAATATTTTCATTTGTGACATTGTGGAAATTACTAATAACTTGTTGTACATCGACGCGACCGTATATTTCATAAAAATTGGTGTGTTTTGTATCGTATTGCACATTGATCGAAGAATAATCGTAACAGCATTTCAAAGTGTAACGGAGTTTGGAAAATATAACGTAGAATGTATAATCTAAATATTTATTTACATTAATTGTAAACCGCAAGCCAAATCTTCAAAAGTCAAAACTGAAAACCTACAAGAATAAATGCTACTGAAATTATAATAATTTTATTAAAGCGATTGTTATTGATACGCACAGCAAAGAGAACATCTGACCGGTTAATGCTGTAGCATAATTATTATTTCGCCGGTCAAATGAGTAAGGAACGCTTTACGCTGTAGGGCCGACAAGTGCAATTGTGTGAGGTCGGTCATTCACACAAGTTGGACGCGCCGCATATAAACATTTGATACAGTTACGTAAGCCGGTACGAAATAATTGTGCGTTTGCGAAATACGGAATCGGAGTCGAAGCATCGCATATCGGCAAGAAATAGCCGTACGGTTGTTTTGAAACTACCAAGAAAAATTGCGACTAATTAGATACAATAAATACATGATGAATAAAAAAAATTATGTGTGTAAGAACTAAGAAGTATACGCACGTAAGAAGTAATACTTCTTTAGCGTATCAAAAGAAAAATAATTAAAATTTTTATCCCCTGTGCCAGTACTCTTTGTCAAAAAAGAAATTAAATACAATTGATAACGGTTTAACTAAATAACTTGGAATTATACGTAAATGTCAAAAAGTTATTGTTTCCCATTGTAATACCGTGAAGTTGGTCGTTTTGCAACCGTTAGAAAAATTACTCTCGTATTTTTTTCCAAACGCGCCAATATCAATGACTTTAATAATACTGAATAAGGTAAAGGTTAAGTACGACTTGCAGGAATGTATGTAAGATAGGTTATGATTACGGGAGATTGATTTAAAAGATTGAATGATTGACAATTCCAAATAAGCGACCCGGTTGATAAATTTCGAGCTCGAATTAACTTTAAGGCTGGCCGCTCAGCGTCCAGGGACCGAACTGATCTTATAGTATTCTTCGTGATACCTAATTAAAATTAAAATAGGGTACAAAAACAATTCTAGTCGGATCATACTAAATAGAACGGCATATAAATCTCATTTGCTTTCATTCCAGCTAATTCGTTCTTTAAAATTTCAAATTTATCTCTTGGTACCTGCGCCCGTCCGCATTACCATGAGACTGAATAGATTAACATCGGAATGTACTAAAACGGTTTTGTACACTCCGCTAAGAATAGATCTCTTAAGACCAGTACACGTTAAACTTAAAAACAGTTTCAGGATTTTAAGACGATAAAACATTTAACGTTGCGTTTATTCCACAGAACGATCTCTCAGTCTGTTACGGCTATTAGATATTCATTTTAAAGCAACAGATTACTGCTGAATACAGAGGTTCAACGTATTTCGTTTACAATCGTAAAGTTTTCTCTCCTGGAACAAAGCCAAGACCTAGAAGTTTAAAAGCTTTTTGTATGTAAGAAATTCAAATAAGAACCATCAACTATAGTCTTCAACAAATTGTTCGAGCAGTAGATTCCTTCGGGAAGATTAGATTAGAGATGATTAATAGAACTTGCATAATTAAAAAAAATTGAGTTAATACGAATTTTATCTATGTATATAATCACAAATCATCATCGACATCATTGAAAAAAAAATTGCGATATTTCACGGGCATTGTTTTCAACATTACTAAGCATATTTATGAACAACGCGCAGGAATGTTCCCATAAATTCAGGTCGATATGGTTAAAATACAATATTAAAAGTACAGCACTATGGATTTCCGTTTCAATAAAATACTGTGTAATACATTTATGACCGTTCCGCTACAAATTGTTTTCGGAGTGCACGAGGCGGTTTTATTCGTAGCGTGGTTTCGAAACTAAATCAATACTGCAGTCTACAAAACAATATTACTTTAGATAACGTAAGCCTTACTTGAGAAAATAACTGGAGCGCTATATGAGGTTGATGTGAACTACGAACGTAAACATCCGTTAGTGGTTACAATTTGGGCTAAGAAACGTGAGTTAGTTGATAACTGTTTATTTATTTGTTTTAGCGGGCGGCGAATGTACGTACGTTTCGTTTTATTAGGTTAGGTTAATCGTTATGGTAGTGAAAGGTTACATTTGCATGTTACATGAATAACGTTTGTTAAAAATTAGTGCCGACGTAAAATGAAAAAAAAAAATCAATAGCAATAAAATATTTCTATCTCCTGTCCTTGTCCCAACTAGTTAGGGTCAGCACAATATGTGAATCATGTTGTTAGCGGTTTTGGCTATATGTTTTACGACCAGCCGTCTGCCTGCCTTCAACCCCCCTTGGGAAACAAACACCCAGATCCGGAATTATCTGTGGGTCAAACAAATCCTTGTCCCGTACGGGAACCGAACCCACGAACCCCGACGCCGAAGCACGGCGCCGACAGATGGCAACGGCGATACCGAACAAAAAAAACGAAAACCAAGCGAAAAAAATTTTTAACGAAAAACAAAACCGACTTCAAATATCTCGGTCTGTATTCATTTTATAATTAATTTTCTGGAGTTCCCTAAGTATCTCCGGAGCCCAAGATCCATTATCAACGAAATTAATATGGATAAACACGGAAAGCACCAGCTTTCAAATAAAAAAAAGAATCATCAAAATCAGTTCACTCAGCCGAAAGTTCAGAGGGAAACAAACAAAATAAAATACAGTGTAATTGAGAACCTTCTCCTTGTTTGAAGTCAGAATATCATCTTCTAGAAGTGAAAATATCATCTTCTTTACTCACCTCGCACATTTGCAACTGAAACAGTCTCCTTTCTTTCTCCATTTCATCGGCTATCTCCGCTGGTGTCACTTCGGTCCGGATGAGACCGGCCTCCTTCGCCTGCGACTTCTTCTCCTTCTCGATTTTCAGGTACTTGGACTCGTAGTCTTTGGACGCTTTGTCGAATGGCCTCTTTAGATCGCCCTTAACACCTCTGAGATCACCTTTCAACAAACTATCCACTGGGAACATTACTATGTTGTTGACGTTCTGCATCTGTAAGAATAATATTCAAAATGAGCATTATAGTTTCGCTTGTATATTTTGAAGTTCTCGTTTTATAAAAACATCATTGTATTTGCATTGCTTAATATAATATGTAATGCTTAAGATACAAAAAATGCCCCACAGAAGACCCATAATTTTTTGTATGCCGAGTCAAATCAAATATTTCAAAACATTGGTGCATAGAAGTGAAGAAAGAAAATAAAACAAATCATTTCCGTTCCCCATTCTCAGGATATAATATATGACATTATCGTTAGCTTAGCATAGTACCACGGCCTGAGATCCATGGTCGGAATCACAGACACGGCACAATTTTGATAAACGCTCCGTTCCACTCGGGCGCAAACGCACCCCGCCCGACCGAGCGTCTCACGCCCAAGCTGAACAGCGAAGCCGGTTGAGCAACTTTAATGTGTTCACTGCTCCACACATATATGAAGTACATATGTATGAAGCACACATGGTCCCTGAATAGGGTCCGAAAAACAAGACTAAAATTTAGGGATACAAGATCGAGGAAGGTGTTAAAAGTTGGCATTCTAATATACTTTTTATTCTGACGCTAAACGTACCAAATAATACAGTATATATATTTATTGTTACGATACAGATAATCTTGGTGTAGTGTTTGTTGGCAATTTACATTTAAAAAGAATAAGACATCATCCAAGAATGTTACGGTGTTATTACAAGATCTTAGTAGGAACATTTATTTGGACTAAATAAAAACTAACAAAGGATTATTGGCACCGATTCAACATAGCCATTTATCCATCAATTTTATTAAAACGATATATTGTACAATGTTAAGGTTCATTGGTTGCTGTGATGCCGTGTCTAGAAGCCCAAGTCTTATGATGTTACAAAGGAAAATTACAGCACAGTCTAAAGTCTGGTCAAGCACATTTGACTTTTTTATATAAAACATTAGTATTTGTAAAATGTAACATATGCAAGAATATATTTATATCGTATACTTTTTGTGAAATCAACGGAGTGTATGCACCGCTGACGGAGGAAGGAAGTACTTAGAACAAAGGGTTAGCCTGCACAACGCAACCCTTCCTATATGCTTCCAGCTAATGAATTAACACCCTTCCAATTAAACACCATAAGGAAATCGTTAATGTAATTAAGATTAAAGGCTCTCATTGGACCAAATTTAAATTACTAAATAAAAATTTAAAGTTCTTTCCTTCGAACTTCCTTAATTGTATCTTTGAATAGATATAATTATAATGATAACTGTGATAAATCACGCAATAAAAGCTCTTTAGAACTTTACATTGAATTTGTAAACTTCGTTCATATAATAAATTAGAAAACATTTCTGCGCCTATAGAGTTAATAGAAAACTACAGTTCTCTTTTTCTACTTTCCCTTTTTATTTTTAATATCAATATGTCTTTCAAGTAATACAGTAGAAAATATTTCTAGGCCTATAGTTTTAATAGAAAACTTCCGCTCCCTTTTTCTTGTTTCCTTATTTATATATTTCTTAATATTTTATAATCCATACCAATAGAAATTTCGCCAGAAATTAAATATTTTTTTATTGAATAACAGTTTAAAGAGCTCATAAGAAATCAGACATACAGTCACAAAGTAAGAAAAAAAAAATACATTTACAAAATTCAAGTTAATTTTTTTAAACATCGGAGCAGTTGGATAAAATGTATTAAAAGTTATCTAATGTAGATACAATATGCTTTAACTTAGTGCACTAAAAATTGGCCGTTGACATTTAAGACTGTTAAACCCCATGACCGTAAGAATACTTTTTGTTTATAAATAGCTACATATTATAAATATGTAAACCCAGACACTGGAAAAGTATTATGTTCATGACACAATATTTGTACAGTAGTAGAGATCTAACCCACGCTCACTGGCGCAAGAAGCAGGTACAATACGAGGGACACTATAAAATAGGAAGCCGGGTCAAGTTAACTTTAGAAATAAAGTAAGCTTTTGCGTGTTTGGATTTTCACACTATTCAGATTTTATTTGAATTCATGTAATAAAGTAATTGTTATAAGAAGACTTCTGATTATCGAATAATCAACAACGCTTGAGCTAGAATTTCGCGACAGATCACCAGTCGACATTGTCAGGCAAAATTAGATACTAATAAAGGTTTTTTGTATCAATTTAATCTAACTTAGCACCCTGTAAATGAATAAAATCAAATAAAAAAAGATTATTGCATACTCTGCATCAACTAAAGTAATGGACGGCTGGTTTACGAATAATGAATAAAATGAAGAATTTTTAACAAGAATCAAAATGATACTAAATTGCAGCACGTGACATACAGTTAAGAGAGATATAGGGGCGTACCAGAAACGGTACATTCTGCACAAACCTGTACAAAGCGTGACATATCACGAGGACGGGGCTTAGTATTCTCTAGAAAGGCTCTTATTGCGAGCCGAACGTGGTGAATGCAGACAATGGAGATATGTTACATACGTACATGTATTTGAATGGAAACCAGCTGTGACGTGTACGAATTTGCTACGCCGTGCCGGTCCATGTATTAACGCGTTAGATTTGACAATGAGAAAACTTTGCGTTGAAGTTACGCGTGTACTTTTTCCAGACATTACAAGTGTAGCAAATATCCATGGGCGACAGTATTAACAGACTAGCTATCAGCTCGCTCACCGTCTTCTTAATTAAATTAAAAATGGGGCGCGCGTGCAGAAACCAATGTACTAAGGGCGGGCACCGACTGGGATCTTGTATCTAGGATCATCTCCTAATAACAAAAATGGGCTTTGAGACCGTGCGTGCCTCTCTCAGGCCCTATAACGCATTATATGCAAACACACGAACGGACACACGAATTACGATCCGTGGCTGCTGTAGCGTAACGCTGAGCCATTACAATCCCAATGATACTGCTTCGCCCCGACACAAAGGCGCACACGCGACGTTCCCATCGCAAAGGCCGCGAGCGAGCTCGTTTAGTCGTAACAAGCTTATCGCAATTGTTGTGTTTAATTTGGAAACGTTTTCTGTCTTCTCGCTCTTCGTTATTGCGATAGTTTGTACAATTTTATGTCCACCGGTTTATTCCACTGTTAGACGATTTTATTCTGTAACAATCATTAAACACGCGAGTATTGAAATTAACCTAACATGGAACGCCCCATCCGCTCCTTTACTCGCGCATATAGGTTCAAGACGTGGCCCATTATGTGTTACTTGATTTGAGCTTAATATTGTCGTAACTCGATTATTTTTTTAAGTATTATCATATCTCATAATTAGTGCGTTGCAGCACAACCAATGTTCACATCGCTCAGGGCAAGTTTACTTGCTGAAACTTCTGCTAGAATTCATAATAGTTGTTTCTGTCTTTGGGTTTTACGGATTTTTTTCTTTGCATACAAAGTGACAGTTCAGATATCACTGGCACTCATATCATCAGTCACTTTAAGCTTTACCACGTGATAAACAAGTAGAATATAATTTAAGAAACTACGTTTATGGGTAATTTTTATTTTACCCAGTGTCACTCTCACAGTAAATACGAATCTAACGACAGCTCTCGAGATAAAATCCAACAAGCCGTTCAAGCTGCAGAGCGTGACAACCAATTATACATACATACATACTGTCGAAAAACATAACCCTCCTGCTGGCGCAATCAGGTAAATACTGCTTTCCGATTGGATCTCATTCGAATCCAGCAGCAAATCTATCGTGTAAAATCGTGCATGTTCTATCAGTAAATCTAAAACACTTTCTAGCAACTAATCACATGGTGACGTCATACTCTATCTCTGCAGCATGGTTTCTATTTCTAGCTGAAGTCCTAGCAAACAATCTAGAAGTAAACTTGCCCCGTGTGATGCGAGCATAACACAAAACATTCTTACTAAACTATTAATAATCTATATCTCGATAATATAATGAACCTAAATGTCGGCAAAAGCACGCGTCAGTTTCAGCTTAGCATACTGTCACCACAAGCCGTGTCACACAACCTGTCGCTATAAGCCGGCGTATTATATTAAATTCACTATGCCTGTCATATTAACAGTGGTTTACCAGACTCAGTAGTTATTTTAATAAATAGTTTAGATATGAAAGTATCCTTGTCCAATAATTTATACAAATTAAAAATTTTTATCGGTGCTATTTTTTAGAAATTGTTAATAGTGATAATCTTTCCACTTAAGATTGATCATTAAAATGTAAAATGTAGGAAAAGAAGTAAAATATTGTCGTGTGGATATCAGCCGTTTAGGTAGTGGTTAGTGGTAGTTTAGTGGTGGTTCGGCGAATGCCGAAGACGTGGGTTCGCTTCCCACAGCGCCGACAATCTTTTCGTACTTTTCCTACATATTTTAAGGTGTTATTTTTGTAATGTTTCTTTATATCATTTATATCGTTTATAATATTGAATTATTCAAAATCAAACTACAGAAAAAATCAGTTGAGCCACCTGCTCGTCTGCCCCTTTTTCTTCATAGAAAAGAAATTAAATAATTTCAACTATACCATGAATAATTTATGCGTTTCTTAATTTAATTCTAATACAAAATTTATTGAATAAGACTTGGGTTTCACTTTTGAATACTATGCTCATAATATTATTTATATACAAATGTCGTTAGACTACATGAACGTTGTAGACGAATAGGTTCTTTTTTACTCATTTTTTATTACAGTCGTTCGAGGCTCAGTTTTTTATAGTGAAAACTTAAATTAATCAAATCTTATTAAAACATGTAGAAAAGGTACGAAGAGATTGTCGCCGCTGTGGGAATCGAACCCACGTCTTCGGCATTCGCGGCCTGACGCTCTAGCCACTGAGCTAAACGGCTGATAGCCACAGCGCCGAAAATCTTAACGCCCTCCTTCTACATTGTTATTTAGCATTTGAAGCAATGCTTGGCGCATCTATTGTTATGTCCTTTCCAGCATGCAGAGATTAGCACTATAAAAAACTTTATAAAAAAATTAATTAAATCTTG